ATATGGAACATTCCTCAGGAGAGACTGTACGTTAGACCACAAAACAAGTGTTAATACATTTTAAAAGATTGAAATTAAGCAGCATCTTTCTTAATTACTATGGAATCAAACTAAAAATATCAGAAGAAAAACTGGAAAATTCACAAATATGTGGACTTTAAACAACACACTTTTAAACAACCAATGGGTAAAATAAGAAAAATTAGAAAATACCTTAGGACAAATGAAAACACAATTTGCAAAAACTAATGGGATGCTGTAAAAGCAGTACTAAGAGGGAAATTTATAGCTTTAAATACTTACATTTTAAAAGGATAAAATATTTCACTTCAATAATACAACTTTATGTTTTAAGGAAGTAGAAGAAGAATAATGATCTAAACCCAAAGCTAGCAGAAAAAATAAAATAATAAAAGATATGAGCAAAGATTACCATAATTCATTTGAGAATGTTGCCTAAAAATACAGTAAAGAAACTCAATATTATTTTCTTTTCTATTAGAAATTCAATGATATGCACTCTTAAAACACTTCTCCAGGAAATGAAATATTATTATAGACAAATTAACCTGAAATAGAAACAGTCGTTTGATTCTTCTACTTGTTCCTAGAGTTGAGAATGAAAAAGGGTACATTCTTGTTGAGATTAGTTTCCAGAACTGAAGCCTCAATGGAGACTTGGTCTTTTCCATTCTCTGCAGAATATGACTTTAAATTATGTCCTTAGAGTTCTCTCTAGCTTATCCCATGTTCTGGGTACCAGCCTTCATACTTACACCACACTGCATCACTGGCATCACTGCTCTTAATGAGAATGTATGAACAATTTCCTAATTTCATGAAATAAGAAGTGGACAAACAGCTCAATTAAGAAATGAGTATCTAAAATTAGTTTTGATTATAGTTTTAGTATTTTGAATAAGGTGAGCCAGATGGAAAGAACGTCCATCCCCTGTGCAACTTAGGTAGAAAAAATAATTCCGTTAATAATTTAATCAGAACAAATGATTGCTCTAAGAAATCAAATGTAGCAGGAAAAGATAAATCTTTAAGAACTAAGGCTCTTAAAATATAAGAATATAAGATAATAATGAGAAGCTGAGTCTAAGAATTTATAGTAATATCAGAAGTACACCACGGAGCTCAAACTGTCAAAGTGGATTTATGAAAATTATAGAGCTTACTTAATACTGAATTTTACTAATTGATGAAGAGCATGAGCAAAAAGTAAGCAGAGAAACAGCAACACCCATCTCTGAAAAGGCCCAAAAGATCTGACATACTTCCAAAAAAATCTATTTTTGCACTGTAATGTACTTTGTGTCTGAGTAGGAGATTAATGTTACTGTATGTATCATGTACATGCCGTACATGTTAGCCCTAGGAGGCCATTTAAGTTTAGAGCTTCTTAGGTTTTACATTCCATTAGTTGCACAGGTAGGAAACCTACATGACTAACTTTAGCTCTCCAAGTTGTGCCCTGTACTTCACAAATTCCAGATTCATCTACAATAAGCAATGCAAAAAGCCTACTAAAAACATTCTTAGATGAGAACTTCTTGAGTTATCTTCCTGCTTGTAAATACCATCAGAATGTTTACAAGGAGGGAAGAGTAATGAAGCTGTTGCTAGTTCTTTCTCTTTTGTGAAGACACAGATGAAGCACAGTGCTGCGAGTGGCAAGGGATTGAATCAAGCAAGATTCAGAAATATGCAAGTGATTCAATGGCCCTTTATATTCAAGTCTCCAAACTTGAGTTTTATATACCATCTTCTCAAAGGAATAAAACAAAAAATTCAATCATATACAACAATTTTGTCTATTATAAAGTTGAATGTTTGCCCCACACCTGGCCTGCCATCGTGCATTAGGGGACCACGGATGATCAAAAGAATCCCTGTCCTGATGAAGTCACTGCTGATGCTCTTATTTATGCTAAATTGTGAACATTTGATGCACATGGGTCCATGATTCTTTACCAGCCATACCAATCACATCTAGGACAGATAAGGGGGAGGAAGATGGAGTGCATGCAACACCCTACCAAATTCTCTGCCATCATCTGACTCTGCACCTGCTCCATCTTCCCTTCAAGACCAATGGAAGGAGGGTGCTGCTTATGGTAATCAGATCACCAGGTTGCTGTTCCAGGGCCATATGCAGGGAGTACAACCAAAAGCACAGGCTTCCCTTTATCTTTTTGTTCCTGCCCAGCTACCATGTCAATTCTTGCCCTGAAATTTGACCTATCCCTCTTTTCCAGTCCAAGTAACATGGTTTTTCTTACCTGCATGGCTTCATTGAAACCAAAACTAACATTTCCAAACACCTGTCTGTTAAAAGTAGAGATGAAGTTTGTTTTTCAAATTTGAAAATGCTCATTAAAATAGAAAAATAATGTGTGCCAGCTGACTAATACTCAGATGTCTCTGTACAAGAACCCTTCATCCATCTCTGCTTTGCAGTCCTCCTGGGTCTGAGAGTTGACCTCAGGCACAGCCAGGCAAGGAACACATGGCTCACTCTCAGTACAGGGGGTGGAAACCAGAATAATCAAGACCAGTCTGGCAACATAGCAAGACCTTGTCTCTACAAAAGAATTTAAAAATCAGCCAGGCATAATAAGTGTGTGCTTGTGGTCCTAGCTACTCAGGAGGCTGAGGCAGGAAGATACCATGAGTTCGAGGCTCAAGTAAGCTATTAAATAATGGTACCACTGCACTCCAGCCTGGACAAAATATCAAGACCCTGTCTCAAAAAAGGGGGGTACATAATAATATATCTTCCCATTCCATATTTATCCACCCCTTACCCCTGAGAAATGACCATAATATCCTTGCAGAACTATTGTATGTATACATGAGCAAGTATGCACAAGCTATTTCTCTGTCTTACAGACATGGAAGCATTTCTTAAATAATATCTAACAACCTATTTTTTCTTAAACATGTTAGTAATTGTTCTATATCACTATATGAAGACCTCCTTTGAAGAATTTTTTTACAATTTCTTATTATTAGGAAATGGAACTTACATAATAGTGCATAATTATGTACTGTTTAAATTATAAGCACACATCTTTTACTGCCATACAGATTTTTTAAAATTACGTATGTGAATAGCATCTCAATAAAGCAGACATTTAAAAAAAAAAAGAATGAAAGAAAGGAAAAGAAATAGGACCCTTCCGCAGCACAGAAAACTCTCTCGTTCCCTACAAAAGCTAGAGTTTAAAACCAGCCTGACTACTGGGTGTATTTTTGTTTGTTTGTTTGTTTGTTTTGAGGCGGAGTCTCTCTGTCGCCCAGGCTGGAGTGCAGTGGTGCCATCTCGGCTCACTGCAAGCTCCGCCTCCCGGGTTCACGCCATTCTCCTGCCTCAGCCTCCCGAGTAGCTGGGACTACAGGTGTGCACCACCATGCCTGGCTAATTTTTTAAATATATTTTTAGTAGACACAGGGTTTCACCATGTTAGCCACGATGGTCTCGATCTCCTGACCTCGTGATCCACCTGCCTCAGCCTCCCAAAGTACTGGGATTACAGGTGTGAGCCACCGTGCCCAGCCTATTTTTGGGTTTTTAATGAATGCTTTTACCATCTATACAGGCATCTTTCTGAAACATTATTTACTATATATTTGGCTTACAATTGCTTTATCTGACTTGGGACTTGAGGGGTAGGTTTTCTGGCATAGTTTCTGTATCCTAATCTAGTATGTCACTTATAAAATATATATGGTGGCCAGGTGCAGTGGCTCATGCCTGTAATCCCAGTACTTTGGGAGGCCAAGGCGGGCGGATCACAAAGTCATGAAATCGAGATCATCCTGGCCAACATGGTGAAACCCCATCTCTACTAAAAATACAAAAATTAGCTGGGCGTGGTGGTGGGCACCTGTAGTCCCAGCTACTTGGGAGGCTGAGGCAAGGGAATTGCTTGAATCCGGGAGGTGGAGGTTGCAGTGAGCTGAGATCGCACCACTGCACTCCAGCCTGGTGACAGAGCAAGACTCCATCTCTAAAAAAAAGAAAATATATATATACACACACATATACACACATATATATGGTTAGAATTTTAAAATCCAGCCTGATGATCATTTTACTTTTAACTAAAATTTAGTCCAATTACACTGAGTACAATTATTGATATTTTCAGTTTATATGTAACATTTTATTTTGTGCTATATATTTTTTTGTCTTCTTTTGGATTGAGTGTATTTTTGTTATACTATTGTTTTTCTTGTCACTTGCAAGTTATTTGCAGTTTATATTCCTTCATTAGTTATTTAAAGATATTAGGCATTACTTATAAACCATAAGATATTAGGCATCACTTATAAACCATAGCTTAAACTTAATCAATGTCTTTACTCATGCTCTGGATAAAACAAGAACTTAGAATCTTTAACATGGTTACTCTTTTTTCTGTTTTAGAGATTTTGTTGTAGATTTCAATTGTATGTTTGTAAACCCAGAAGTCTTTATTATTACTGATAAACTCTATCTTGAGATTCAAGCAACCTGCCTCTCCATTTGCCTGTTCAAACCTGGAGAGGGCTCCTCCCGACCGTTGCTTGCCTTGAGGTTATACCTTGGGGTTAACATTTTGTTTTGGTGGTCTCCCTGCACCCTGTCCACACCTTTGAATATACCCTTATTATTAACGTCTTATTAAACGACTCAGTTTGAGCATGCTAGGACCCTGATGATATAATCTTATACCCATTTTAAGACACTGATCATTTTTAGCACCTAGTGGAGAGTTCTGTGAAGGGAAAGGACCTTTGAAGCAAGCAGCCTTGCCTGGGAATCTTGGCCCCAACACCCAAAAAGTCTCAAAGAACAACACAACCACCCTCTCTACATGCCCCCTAAAATTGTAAGTACCCTTCTGCACCAGGTGTGTTTCATTGAGTCCGGTGAAATAAAGGAGAAAAGGAAGCAATAGGAGGAGATGGAAAATGTTTAATAAGGACAGGAATTAGTGTTCACAAACCTGTTCCTTCTGGGGATTTTCCAGGACATTTTCTCTGATCTGCAGTAGCTGCACTTCTGGGAGGGCACCTGTGCTGAGGTCCATGTCCAGCTTGGTCCAGACAATGTAGAACTTCTTTCCCATGTCCTCAGTGGTTTTGGCAAGCATCACATGATTCATGCTGAATTGTGCAGATGCAACCATGATGAAGTCATACTGGTTGAACTGCATTTCCATGAGGTAGTCCTCCAGGGTTTTGGTGGCAGACCCTGTGCCAGGAAGGTCCCACAGCACCACATTTGGAAAGAAAGTAGGAAGAGAAATAGGGGGCACATCTTTGGGTAGCTTTTACCAGCCCAGTAGGAGGTGAGGCCTTCCCCTCATGTCCTGTGTTTCAAAGGGCACTGATGAAGGTGTTCAACCCACTGCCAGAGTCCCTGCCATAGCAATGTTGACTGGTGTCCTGGACACTATCTTCAGAGTCTCCTTGATGGCAGAGGCCACCTCTGGCAAGTTCCCACCTACTAAGGCTTTCTCAACATTTGTGGCCTCCGTCTTTGATAAAATACCCCAATGCTGGCCGGGTGTGGTGGCTCCTGCCTATAATCCCAGCACTTTGGGAGGCCAAGGCGAGCGGACCACGAGGTCAGGAGATTGAGACCATCCTGGCCAACATGGTGAAACCGTGTCTCTACTAAAATACAAAAAATTAGCCGGGCGTGGTGGTGTGCACCTGTAGTCCCAGCTACTCGGGAGGCTGAGGCAGGGGAATCACTTGAACCTGGGAGGCAGAGGTGGCAGTGAGCCGGGATCGCGCCACTGCACTCCAGCCAGAACGAGACTCCATCTCAAAACAAACAAACAAAAAACCCCAATGCTTATGGTGTGGCATAAAGGGTTTAGGATGCAGCTAATGGAGTGTGAGGGGCATGTGGGAACTCTGTCGTTATCGGTGGGCACTGGAGTAAGCTGCAGAAGTAGAAGAGCAGGTGAGTTAGGATGGACAGGGTACACATGAATCATCTGACTTTTAGCATCCCCAGCCCTCAACGAAGACTGCAGCAAAGACATCTGGATTAAAAACAATAAAAAAACACTCATTCAAGCAATGTGCACATTCCTTCAGGGAGCAAGAAAGGTAGGGCCCCTGAGGAACCCTCTGAGGCCGGTTGTGCCTCCAATAGTCAGCCTCCAAAGCAGGACTGTGGTCATGAGACGGCTTAAATAGTGGGGAATGAACCAGGTCTCCTGAAAAGCCCAGGAGTTTTCTGTCTTTTCCTCTTTTACTCTATCCTAACTGTCTGCTCCTTCACAAGTTTCAGTTCACAACCAAGGCCAGACAAGTAAAAGAGACCTATAGATTTCTCTGCTGAAGATGGCGCCAGAGGACATGAAACATCCAGTTCCCATTGCTTACTTGAAGCTGTGGTCGGTCTCTGTTTAACACTTGCCTCATCGGGCAGGGGAGCACACGTGCCGAGTGGTACTGAAATGCTGCAATATATACAAAGTAAGCCACCAGCCTTTGACCCCCAGAGCTTCCCTTAGGATTCTCACGTTGGGTCCAACTGAAGAGAGGGAGAGGAGAGAGTATACTCAAATGCTCTGCTCTTCTTCGAGGCAGTGATTAGACAATTGATTATCATTGCGTTTGCCAAACCTGGCTCTTGCAGGTTCCCCACGGGGCCAGGTATTTGAGACTGATTAAAAGAAGGTGATGTGATTCTCTACTCCTAGCATGGCCTGGCAGGTCTGTTTCACACACTCACTGTGAACACACACAACACTCTGCACAGAGCCTCTCACACCTGGTGTGCACACTCACCCATGCCCAGCCATGTTCACTTACCCCACACACTCGCGCTCACACCGTCTCACTCACCCTCAGCATGCACACATACACTCGCTCGCACTCTGTGCACAGGCCCACACATATTCACACTGACACACGTTCACACACCCTAACATACTTAAGCTGACATGTGTAAACATGAATACACACATTCATCCCTGTTGCACACACTCACACCTGCTCACTCAGGCTGCAACATGTTCCCTTACCCCACACACAAACACACATTCACTCGTGGTGCTAGGTTCACACAAACTTCTGTTTGGTGCACACACGCTCATACACTCTGTGCATGTATATATACACTCATGTAGGCTCACACATGTTCACTCACCTACCCTCACTCATGCTTGGTGTGCCCAGTGCCCACACATTCTCTCACATGACACGTTTGTACACTCATGCACACACAGAATCTTGCCTCCTGAGTGCCCAGGACAATGGATTTGTCCAAGTCTGTGGCCCTTTTAGAGGGCCCAGGAAACAGAGAACTGGCTCCAGCTGTCCATCTATGAAATATGAGGAAAGGCCCTAATGGAGGAGACGGATGAGAGAGGCCCTGTTCTCTGGAATGTATGTGAGTCTTCAACTTCTCAGTGCCTCACTTGCCTTGGGAAGATTTTATAACCCACCATATGGCGAGAGCAGCCACTGATCATTGACTTCCTCATGCCAGACTTCATCTGTGGCTGCTATGTAAAGTTTCTCCACTGTAACATTAATTATTTTGGTTTATGTATATAACTAGTTTCTTCTCATCAAGTGCTACTTAGATATGGTTGCTTTTAGTTAGTCCACAAAGAGGAAGAGGTAACCTGTGGAATCTGGAGGGAAGGGGGCAGGGTAGTTATCAGATTCAAATGTAGTCCCTCAGCAGCCTAGCAGGAGAATGGAGTGGGGAGGTCTGGCCTTCGGAGTTTTGGCCACATGTCTGTGCATGGATAGCTGGCAGACTGGTTAAGGTGAGGAATCGAGTACTCCCCTTCCCCACAACGTTGTACTTGATAGGTGCACAAGGGAGTGGAACAGGAGCACATGCAGGGCCGGGGATGGGCTTGGGCCCATGGCAGGGCCATTTTCTAACCCAAGTAGTCCCAGAAAGTATTGCTTCATCAGGTATTAAATGATTGGCATCATATTAATACATACACAGGTCTTGGCATTAACCATTAAGCATTTCCACTAGAATCTTTACCATTGTACTCTTTGTGCCCAGCAGGTGTTTAACATATTTTTGTTTGATTAATAAAACACAGTACACTTTGTGTGTTATTAACTTATTAACAGACAGATAAATTAACTTCCCTTTCTAAACTGTCCCTGCTGAGCACGGAGCCTACTAATATACATCTGATTTTCAAGCACACTCTGCTTAGGTATGACACAGGCCAGTGCAGGGTACTGACTGTCCATGGTGAGTGTGGGAGGTCGGCCGAAAACCCTATAGTTTTCCAGGCTTTTTCTGTGACCCTGTCTGTGAACAGAGCCAGCATCTTCAAACCTGTCTGCTTACCTGTCCACTAGTGCTGAGCCCCATGGAAAAGAGCCTTAGCCCCTGCAGCCCCAGCTCAACTGTCCCACCCCCAGGCCTTGATCATATGATCCACTTCTCCTGGGCCCATGTGAAGGCTCACCAGCTGCACACTGGACACCACTGAGCCCAAAATAATTATTTGTACAATTGAGATACTTTATCTCAGTTACACCAGGACTCTTCTGTGTTGTGTCTGCCTGGGCCCCTGTGCCACTGCCAGGCCAGTGAGGGCATGGTTTCCTCTGTATAAGGTTGCAGTGTCTTCCAGGTGTTTTAGTGGGTCTGTGTTTGTGAGCATGAGCCTCCAGGAGCACTGACCTGGAAGTTTAGAAGAGGTCATCAGAATTCAGCCTGGGTTGCAATTGCTCCAAGCCCGGCTCTTTGAATATCTTGCCCAGATATATTGCCAGATACCTTCCTCCAGACAGGAGAAGAGGAGTCCTTTTGGAAGAAGAGGAAGAGGCCCTTCGAAAGGGAGTCACGGGACCAGGTTCAATTATAGAGTGGCAGCCATACAAAAAAAAAAAAAAAAAAAGAACCAGACCCTAGAAGGAGCATATTCCTAAATTTACTAAGTGAGCAGATAGGAACCAAGTATACATGCACACAAATACATGCATACAGTTGAATGCAAGGTATTACAGAACAATTTGCCTTAAATACACTCTATAACTCCTATTCCATTCTATGAATGTTTTTTCATCTGTTTGTTTTTTAATGCTGGTCATAATCCGATGAATTAATTTCACGAGTAAAATATGCAGAATGAAGAACACAGATTAATAGATTTCCCATGTAAGGTTATATATAGTTAATTCCATACCAATTATCTTGATCCCCAAACAAAGGTACTTACAGCAAAGTAAGACCTGGCCTTAGCACAGATGTGGAGGCTGGTGCATCAGAGAACTCCATGAGCCCGGAAACCACTGTGGATCAAATCCCAGGCTTTTGCTCTGTTTGATCACTATCAGAAAAGGCTGACGGAAAAATCAATGTGATGATTCATGTAGAGTAATGAAACTGGATCCCCAGCTCTCACCTTATACAAAAATAAACTCAGCTGGGTGCAGTGGCTCATGCCTGTAATCCCAGCACTTTGGGAGGCTGAGGCGGGTGGTTCACGAGGCCAAGAGATCAAGACCATCCTGGCCAACATGGTGAAACCCCGTCTCCACTAAAACTACAAAAATTATACATATGTGACAAACCTGCACATTGTGCATATGTACCCTAGAACTTAAAGTATAATAATAAAAAATAATTAAAATTAGCTGGGTGTGGTGGTATGCACCTGTAGTCCCAGCTACTCGGGAGGCTGAGGCAGGAGAATTGCTTGAACCCGGGAGGTGAAGGTTACAGTGAGCCGAGATTGTGCCACTGCACTCCAGCCTGGTGACACATTTTTATTTTATCAAAAATAAAAATAATAATAATAATTTTAAAATAAACTCAAGATGGATCAAAGACTGAAATCTAACTTGAAACCATAAAAATTCTAGAAGATAACATTGGAAAAATTCTTCTAGACATTGACATAGGCAAAGAATTCATGGCTAAGATCCCAAAGCAAATGCAGCAAAAACAAAAATAAATAAATGGAACCTATTAAACTAAAAAGCTTCTGCACAGCAAAAGAATTAATCAGCAGAGTAAACAGACAATCCACAGAGTGGGAGAAAATCTTTGCAAACTATGCATCTGACAAAGGACCAATACCAGAATCTACAAGGAACTCATACAAATCAGCAAGAAAACCAATGAATAATCCCATCAAAAAGTGGGGCAGAGAACATGAATAGACAATTCTCAAAAGAAGATAGACAAATGGTCAACAAACATGAAAAAACATGCTCAACATCCCTAATAATCAGGGAAATGCAAAGTAAAAACACAGTGAGATACCACCTTACTCCTGTAAGAATGGCCATAATTTAAAAATTAAAAAATGACAGATGTTGGCATGCAGGTGGTGAAAAGGAACACTTTTATACTGCTGGAGGGAATATAAACTAGTACAATCATTGTGGAAAACAGTATGGAGATGACTCAAAGAACTAAAAGTAGATCTACCATTTGACCCAGCAATCCCACTACTGGGTGTCTACCCAGAGGAAAAGAAGTCATTATATGAAAAAGACACTTGCACATGCATGTTTATACTAGCAGAGACCTTGGGCATCTGCTTCACCTCTCAGAGAATCTCATTTCCTTCTGTTTTAAACGGGGACCATAATAAAAGCTCCCAGGGTGTTTAAGTGAAGCGATGCCCCAGTACAAGGGCTCTGTAAGACTGATGATCTTATCATCTCTATAAGAAAGATGATCATGTGTCTGCTTTCTAGAGATTTACAGAACTAAGAAGTTGCAAAACCACTTATGCAGCTATGAGACTGTGAGATTGGCTTTGCCCCCTTTACTCCTTGCCCAGGTCAGAACAGGACAACTGTCAGATTGAGGAAGCAGAAAGGGCATATGGATGTGCCTTCACCAAAGGCCAACAGTAAGGGCCAGAGGGAAGAGCCCAGTGTGCAGAACACAGTCAACAGGACCTCAGTTGAAAGACAATGGGGCCCACCTGTTGCAGAGACCGAGGAGGTGAGAGGAAAACCTGCGGATTAGGGCTTTGCCTATCTCAAAGATCCAAAAAGGAGTATCAGAGAGGGTCCCTTATGGTCCCTCATACTAGAGGATAGGAAGTTACATTCACTACCTCCCAGAGACCATTAAGGCCAGATTGCAACCATATCACAAGCGAGACTTGTCCTGACTTTCACCACTGCCTCTCCTCTCCCCACCTCTCTACCCTTCAGCACCCTCTCCACTCCCACACAGACACCTTGTAAGGGTCCCAAACATCAGACGCTCATAGCATAGGAGGTAGGAGAAAGAAAAGACCAGAAGCTGACTCTTTTCTTGTCCCTACTGCTGATTTCTCATTCCAAGGCGGGACTGAGCTGGGGCGAGGGAGATTTAAGTTCAACAAGGGTCTAGGGCTTGTTTATTAGAATGTCTGGACTTCCGATTACCTGAGTGTGACCGGGAGAGAGTATATTCCCTGAGCATGGCC